CCAGGGTATGAAGTGCTCAAAACCAGGCGAAAAAAATTTCTGACCAATATTTTTAATATTTTTACCTTGTTGGAGAAGCCAATTTTTACGTTGTAGTATTCTATGTGTCCTTATCTATTGGGCCGCTGGGTTCAGAAATTCCATATGCGATGCTGACCGACCTTAATCTGGAAAATAAACTCGAAAGCAACGTTAAACTTGTACGTGTTTGTAGACTCTTTTCATCAGTTTCTCACCGCCGAGTCTATTCTAGTCGTACATGATGTATGTCTGTGCAGCGTGTAGTCTGGTTCCCTAGACCGGACAATTATTCTCGACGCTCATATCACGTCTGGTCCGGGGGCCAGACTATGCAGCATGAATATGCAGTGCGCATGCGCGATTTGCTTAGTAACCACCCTCATACGCACGCGCACTTACTTGAAGGCGCGGTCGCTAATCCAATGACCGAGCGTGTTTTCGCGCCAGTTACCAGAAACACGTTTCGGCTTTGGTCATTGGTTGAGCGTTTTCGTGACATCGGTTGGCTGGAGTGACGTCACGGTTCCAACCAAAACTAAACAAATGAGGGCGCTAGCGTGCGTGCTTTCGTACGCACGTACATTGTACATGACGTACGACTCTGGGAATAAACTGATGAAAAGAGACTACAAACACGTACACGTGTAAAGCTGCTTTAGAGTTTATTTTCCTGATTAATGTCAGTCAGCATCACATATGGAATTCCTGCACCCAGCGGCCCAATAGGTAAGGACACATAGAAAATGTAGGCGTCAAATAAGCTTCTGTAACGAGTAGCTGGAGTTACCCAGCCCTGAATTTTATCATTTATCACTAATATGAGGTTTACCACTCGCATCACAGCTTTGGTACTGGAACCGCAACCGATAGTGCATGAAACAGTCATTGGGTGTTACGCTTCCGCGTGACGTCATGCGCCAACAGCCAGCGCAGCCGGCAAAAACGAGTAGTTGACAGTGCTCTGTGCCTGGTAATCGATCGCCATTCATTGTACACAATTTTTTTTGTGCACAAACCAATTGCGGTCCTGGCCATGCCTGCAAGGTTGTCAGGTTAGCGGTTATTCCTCCTTTTTTCACTGCAATTGTAGGCTGAATCTTCATCGTGGATCGTTTTTTACTTCAAGGACCTGTAGCTGTGTAATGGTTATTCCAGGCACCCCAAACTTGGGAAAAATTCTGCCAACCGGACACCACTTACCTGCCACCAAACATCCAAATTTTCACCTTACCTTGTGATTTCAACCAAGAGGAATCCAGGAAAGAGTGGACATGCGAAAAAAAATTGGTAAAAATGTGTTTTTGGAGCACATTTTTTATGCACATGTAGTGCAGATCTGAGTTGAAGCAGCCGGTCAAAACTCATTGAAGTGTCTGGAACAGCGGTACGTTATACGCATGACATCGATAACCATGACGTCGCATGAGACGTCGCATGAGCCGGCCAATGATAGTGCAATACGTCATTATGAATATTTATTTTCTCATGAATATTTAGTTTATTTCAATGGATACTTCAAATACGTCCAAAGATTGATCAATGCAACAGCGATCGTGCGCGGCCTAGCGGTTAAGAGACTCGTGTATCAAGCAAGCGTCCGAGGTTCGAATCTCGATGAAGTGAGCGACTGATTGATAAATAGAAATTAAGGAAAGGAGGGGGTGAGAGTAGAGGAGGGAAAGTGGAGGGAATAACCATAAAAGAGGTAACTTTTGGCGCTAGAAAATTAATTGAAAAAAGTGTTGTCCGGTTGGCAGAATTTTTCCCAAAAGTGAACATTTTCCAAAAATTTTCGCAATTTTTTTTGGGACCTGCCTACGCTGCTCGGTTACATGAAAAATTAGCTCCAGCCCTACATGACAACCAATGATAAAATTCAGGGCTGGGTAACTCCAGCTATTGTAACGAGGTAAAACATAACAAAAATCTGGTCTTATGGTCTTATGTAGAGAATTCTCATCCTGGACGCGGAGCAACTATAGAATGCAGGGCCACGCCGGAGCAAGGTTTTTTATTTTGCTTGGAGGCGTGGATGAATAGGAGTAATAGATATGCAAACCTGCAAAACGTGTTAAGTACAGCGAATGCACTTGTCTTCTAAGCTTCTCATGAAGGATCGGAAGGGAGGGCGTGCTTGTAAATGTGTTGGGGGCACGGTACGGATCGGAGTCGCGGAGTGGCGGAGGCACGGAGTTGTGAAGTCTCAGAGTCGCGGAGACACGGGGCACTGGAGTGGCGGAGGCGGGGAGTCGCAGAGACTCGCGCCGATAGAGGGCGCAATTCTCGGCAGAATTTTTTTGAGAACGAAGCATCCATATCCATTTTAAATGGGCTCGCAAATCAGGAAGGGAAGAGGGCGACGGGGCACTGTCCGGAGTTGCGGAGGCGCGGAGTCGTGGAGTCTCAGAGTATCGGAGACGCGGGGCACTGGAGTGGCGGAGGCGCGGAGTCGGGGAGTCGCAGAGACTTGCGCCGAAAGAGGGCGCAATTCTCGGCGGAATTGTTTTGAGAACGAAGCATCCGTATCCATTTTAAATGGGCTCGCAAATCAGGAAGGGAGGAGGGCGATGGGGCACTGTCCGGAGTGGCGGAGGCGCGGAGTCGTGGAGTCTCAGAGTCGCGGAGACGCGGGGCACTGGAGTGGCGGAGGCGCGGAGTCGGGGAGTCGCAGAGACTCGCGCCGAAAGAGGGCGCAATTCTCGGCGGAATTTTTTTGAGAACGAAGCATCCGTATCCATTTTAAATGGGCTCGCAAATCAGGAAGGGAGGAGGGCGACGGGGCACTGTCCGGAGTGGCGGAGGCGCGGAGTCGTGGAGTCTCAGAGTCGCAGAGATGCGGGGCACTGGAGTGGCGGAGGCGCGGAGTCAGGGAGTCGCAGAGACGCGCACCGATAGAGGGCGCAATTCTCGGAGATATCGACTGCGGCTCCACGACTCCACGATCGATTTTCGGAGGTACATGTAGGTCGACTGCGGCTCCACGCCTCCACGCAGCCGTACGGAGGTGCGGATGTAGAGTAAAGTGGCCCTGCATTCTATAGTTGTACCCTGGACGCTAGTCGTATTGCAATGAAGACTTCGTCCAACCTGGGCTATAGTAGGACCCAAAACAGACCATGGAGCTAGAGTAGAGTTTCTCAAGATACATACTACTGCTAGTGCTGTGTGTCTGTGTCAGGCGACTATTCTTTGACCCAATCTAGCTCTACTGAGTGGAGCGTTGAATTACGGGTACCCCTCCATACAAACGCTCCACCGATTTGCCATACTTTGGTAGCACCATACACGGTCGTCATGACGGTATGCATTTTGTGCATGCCCTCGCGAGGACAAGGCCCAAAAAAACTGATAAAGAAAATACAAATGAGGAAGACAGTAACCCTGGATAGATCCACACATTCATGACATTCCATATGACCCCTCAAATTGTTTCAAACAACCGGTAATTTTGAAATAAGAACAAAATAGTCTGAACTTGCCGCTCACAATTAAATGTGTCTGCCGAGTTGCACAGTCTATTTCACTGACATGACTGATGCATAATTCATTGCGCGCGTGTGTGACGTCACTATTGAAGAAAAACAAGTTGCGCTTAATCAATGACTGTTTCATGTACTGATATGTGCCCCGCACCAAAAACCCACAGTCAGACGGCGCGGGGCACATTAGCCCGACTGCGTCTGGCCGTACAGTACTATCGCAAGCTCTGTAGTACGGCCAGACGCCCGATGCTTCCACAGAGACTGAATTTTGTTGGCCGCCGATGTAGCGATTTTGCTACATCTTTCGATCGCGATTATCTTTTCATCCAGGACACAAATTTCCAAAGTTAAGGTTCGTAGTCGTAGAGCAACTCATACCTTTTCGAAAAAACATTGTTTGGTCTCAATATTTTCATCCATCTGGCCACAAGACGAATTTCAGTCATCAGATTCCACAAATATCGTCCCCCATGCGATCCCCCATGCGATTTCAAAATGGCGGCCGCGCTGTAATGTATGCAATATGCAGGCGCGCCCGCGCAAACTCATGAATATGCATAAACAGTCTGTGACGTATGACCTCGTGTTTTTGGAAGTACGGCCCCGCCGCACGCACGTCCAAAAACACGAGGTCATACGTCACAGACTGTTTATGCATATTCATGAGTTTGCGCGGGCGCGCCTGCATATTGCATACATTACAGCGCGGCCGCCATTTTGAAATCGCATGGGGGATCGCATGGGGGACGATATTTGTGGAATCTGATGACTGAAATTCGTCTTGTGGCCAGATGGATGAAAATATTGAGACCAAATAACGTTTTTTTTCGAAAAGGTATGAGTTGCTCTACGACTACAAACCTTAACTTTGGAAATTTGTGTCCTGGATGAAAAGACAATCGCGATCGAAAGATGTAGCAAAATCGCTACATCGGCGGCCAACAAAATTCAGTCTCTGTGGAAGCATCGGGCGTCTGGCCGTACTACAGAGCTTGCGATAGTACTGTACGGCCAGACGCAGTCGGGCTAGGGGCACATATGACCTACATAAAACAGCTATTGAGTAAGCGCAACTTGTTTTTCTTCAATAGTGACGTCACACACGCGCGCAATGAATTATGCATCAGTCATGTCAGTGAAATAGACTGTGCAACTGCTCGGCAGACACATTTAATTGTGAGCGGTAAGTTCAGACTATTTTGTTCTTTTTTCAAAATTACCGGTTGTTTGAAACAATTTGAGGGGTCATATGGAATGTCATGAATGTGTGGATCTATCCAGGGTTACTGTCTTCCTCATTTGTATTTTCTTTATTAGTTTTTTTGGGCCTTGTCCTCGCGAGGGCATGCACAAAATGCATACCGTCATGACGACCGTGTATGGTGCTACCAAAGTATGGCAAATCGGTGGAGCGTTTGTATGGAGGGGTACCCGTAATTCAACGCTCCACTCAGTAGAGCTAGACCCAATCCTGGCTAAAACTTACTAAAAACTTACGCTCAAAATCACCGGTATCTGCGACAACAGTCGAGACTTGTTTAAGCTGTTCCAGCAGAGAAGCCATTTTTTGTCGCTTTGGAGAGGACATTATGCATAAGCCGGAAATTTGCTGCTTTTATACGAGAGGTGATGTCACGGAAATATGCACATGTTCGCTGAAGCGCATAGGAAGTCAGTATGTAGTCTGGTTAGCAACGTACAAAAACACCGGCACCTGGACCCGGCCCCAACCATTATCGGCGGAGACTAGACTCCAGGTCAATTCGGGTATAACCATTGCGATCGTAGGGGTGTTCTTTCCACAATAATTATGTACTGTACTTACAATGTCCAAAAAAATAAAATTAGGCACGAAAATACCTAATGGTTCGGACCTGTGTTCTGTTCATAGGTAATGCACACTGTTGTACTCGCATCGAAACAAAATTTCCCGAGTTTTTTTCCCCTAGGACCCAGGAGTCCCTGTACCAAGGACAGAACCAATGGTCCAAACTCCCCAAGCATATGCCGTGCTGTGCAAAATCCTCAGTGACTAGTCTCCTTACAAGTCAACTTTGTCCTACAGCGCCACGTACCACAAATATATTTTTATTTAGAGGTTTATGAAATAAATTTTTCTTAGGAACATATTTTGTGCGAATTTCTACTAATCTCAAAATAAAAAAAATATTTGACTTCCCTTTTTGATTAATTTGTTTGAAAAGTTCACGTCTTTCAACATTTAAAACTATCCATTCTTTTTCAGACAAGGACGCTGTTACTGTGATGCCATTTCAGAAAAACACTGTTCAGTCCATTTTTTTCCTTTCCATTCAAATTGTCAACCCAAAAATGTGCTTATGGAAAACTTTGTGAGAAAAGTTTGCTCGTTGGCTTACTGCCATGAACTGACACAACCAATCACACCCCCCCCCCCCCAAAAAGAGATAAAACTACATGTATATAAGTTTACGACAGCAAAATATCCCAAATTAATTCTTGCAACTGTTGGTGCTGGAAAACCAAAGGAAATTAAAACTGATAACTGCTGTAACATTGAGTTTCTGAAATGACATGACACTTTTGCTCATGAGTATGGACATTTGCTTTCATAAAACCCCCAAACTCACCAAAGGCGCTAAACTATCCTTGAAAATTGAAAGTAACAGTTTAATGGGACACAAATGTGCATTTCCTGGGGATTACGAAAATGATAAAACTGCTGCAAAATGCTCACAGACTAGATTTACCTAAATATACAATTCATAAATTAGAGGCCTGATATATTTCTCCTTAGCAAGGACTTCTTCAGAAAACAATTACATTGGATGAGCCATTAATAAGACTGCATTTACTGAGAAACTGTGGGGAGTGCTACACAATGTTCATTCAATATTTTGATAAAATCGGGAAAACATTGCTCATTCCTACCTCCATGGTCATAGGCTAAGAAAAATGATACATAAAAAAACCGCAGTAAAGTCCAAGAGTAGGTCATGGAAGTGTACATCATTTATTGAAATCGCACAAAATCACAATTTCATCTTCAATCCATCTAAACTCATATTCCAACGGGTGTCACCCGGGCACCACATGCAAATTAGCAATCACCGTTATTTAAAATCCAATTGTTCTTAATATTTTGTATACCATTAAAAAACATCCAAAACTAAAGTTCTTTTGCATAATTTTGCACAACAAAGATACATGTATCAGGCTATTGTGGCTTTACTGAAGTGCGTGACTACTCCCACTTGATACCTTTACTTATTCCCGAGAATAAGCTTACCTGAGAAGAAATAGAGAATTCTAAAATTCTAAAAATCACACTTTGTGGTTATAAAAAAAGAAAAGATTCTGATAAAAAAAATCTACAGCATAATAATGAATTATTTATTAAGATTTATGATGGTTAAACAATGAAATCTTACTTTAGCATATCTCAATTTAACTGTATAAAATTCACAAATTTAAAAATGATAAAAATTTTTATCAATGACAGTTAGGTTCAACCACCTTAATTTAAAAAATACATTCACTTTAATATTGTATTCTATATATTTATCGCAAATTCGCAATACATCCAATGAAAGGTTTTCTTATATAGATTTCTATGAATACATTCCAATGAACAATTTCTACAGCAGATACTTTCCACTAAGCTTTAAGATTGATAAAATTCTAAAATTCGCTTTAGTGCAGAATAACATTCAGACCAATGCAATAAAAGTTGAAATCCAAATGTTGAACACCCAATGTGCAGGAGTTTTGGGGAAACCCAAGAGCAAATAATTATGCACTTATTTTCTTTATTACCAAATTAAATGCTAAAGTTGAACAGAGTTTTAATTTTTTTTTTTTAACCAAATCTGTTGTTTAATGAAGTACATTCTTGTAGGTGTCCAAAAACGATGTAACGCATTGTGTACATTTCCCATTATTGTAAGATTGGGACTTGAATGCATCTAGTCTAGATATTTTTGGTCTTGAATAGATAATTTATTCAAACTGGAATGTGAGACCTGAGCCAGCCATTTTCTCTCTGCAGTACTCGTCAAATTTCTCATTCTGGGCCACAGTAAAGTGATTTTTCCAGTCTCCAACTGTGCCTGAAAAAACAACCAAGAGAACAATTTGTGTGATGAAGCTGTTCCATTTAAGCTAGGTATCCAGTGATGGGAAGAGACCGATCCAGTTAGCCCTGCCTTGTGAGGTTTTGACAAATCACAGCCGGGATCAATGTCAGACAAAAGTCTGACGTGCGTGCAGACTGACATTGGAGAGGTGTATGTTGGGCTGTCCATTTACAAATAATTTTAGCATTCCATTATTCGAAACTGCATTTGACAATTGACAAAATATTTGAAACTCACCAATCAAATTTAACATGCACCAGCGGCAACTGTGTGCTGCGCCATTCCAAAGTTGCACGCAAAGCATGCCGGTTACAGTCAAATGCAAATCAATGCGTAGTTGATAGGAACATATATCCTTTTGACAAAAAGTGCTTAAGTGCTTTTAAACCTTATACCTTATGAATACTTTTGCGTGTTTCTTTCACTGGGGCCAATACAGGAACGAGATGAACGGAAATCATAAACAAATTTCATATGTGTATGAAAATTCAATTCAAAGACTGACTGACACCAAGGCCAAACTAACCCCACCATACTGGGCACAATTTATTGAACAGATCAGCTGGAAAGATTGGGTCAAGGACAGAACTAACCTGACAGCTTTCTATTACATGTATTATGTTTTAATTGGGCCAACAAACCAAGGCCAAAGTGACTTATGGAAAAAAGGGTTTACTGCTCAGCTAAAAGCACAAAGCAAGTCCACAGCATAAACCCTTGTACATGTATATTATCATTCTATGAAATATGCATCCTGTAACGGAGGAAATTTCAGACTTAAAGGGATTGCGTGCCACAATAAAAAAATAATAATATGATTTTATTCAAAGCATGGTGTTGAAAAGTCATGTAAAATTGAGAGCTCTACAAACAGTGCTAAACAATTCCAGACAAATAAAAAAACACAAAGGAATCATAAAGTACTGTTATATTTGAAAAGTATTGTTATCTTCAGATAATTTAACATTTTAAATTTTTAAACCTCTAATTTCCGTTGTAAAAAGTGGCAAAGGAGTTTAAGTTTGCATGAGCTATAACTTCACTAGACTAATAATATTATTGGGAAAAATGTTTGTTTTCAAACTTTAGCCTACCTTTTCGAAGAAATTTCCCAAGATTTTCTTTGCCCTGACCGTCGAAAGCGGGCATCACATTCTGTTCATCGGCCTTCTGGTAGGATTTCTTCATCTGGTCCATGCTGCTGTTTGCCACAACACGATCTATAGCTTCATCTGATAGCACACAGCCAATGTGATCAGCTATCATTATGACTGCAGATCTGGGATCCTGCAAATCAAGACAATACATTATCACCAATACAGGTCTTTTAATTCGGTCAGTCCTCACAATCACTTTTATTACTGTACCAGTAGTTTTGCCACACGAAGCTGGTTTTATTGGTAAAAAGAGCAAGCTTGTTATGTGCCCGTAGGTCAAAGCAGACAGGCTCTTGACAAAGGACTTAAAAAGGGAGATGCAGAATGTTAATCAGTTGTAAACAGATTTCATTGCGATAAAATGAAGAAAAAAATAACAACTGAACCAACAATTAATGTAACAGAGAAAAACCACATGTCAATGACTTTGGGGTGGTGTTGTAAACTACAGAAGTTCTTGGATTGATAAAGCACCGTGTTGCATTTTCCACCCATGCCTCTATGTGATTTTATTTTGATACATATCTTACTTTTCTTGAGAAGTTATTTTCTAATGAAAATATATTAAAAAAAAGCAGAACAGCACAAACCCTCTTCATATCCTCGTACTTCAAAAAGAGGAAGTTGTCATCATGACGATGTTTCCAGTATGCCAAAGAGAAGTCAAAGAAATTGCCATTTAACACTATGGGAAAAATGTAAACCCATGAAATGTGAGAGAAAAAAATTAACAATAAAATGGACAATGCTCCAATTTGTAAATACCTATGTCTCCATATGCAGATCAGTGATTGAGCTTCACAGGCATAAATTTGAATGACGTATACTTGTATGAACTCCATCTGAGGTTTTTGGTAACTGATGTACTTAACATATGGGGTTTCATTACCATCAAGTAGGTTTAACCATCCCGTTTAACCGAGGGAGGAAGTTTTAAAGTTGCCAGGCTAAATTTTGCAAGTTTTCCCATCTTCTACAAATCCAGCAGTAATAGCATTCCGTACTCAAATTTCAAGAGGGACAGATGGGATAAGCACCCAAGAAAAATCGTTAGCCCTATTCCCACTGGATTATTTGAGCTAAAACTTTTGCGACACTGTGAGAATCACAAGTTTTGTCATGACCCCTAGATGGCATTTGACCTCCAATTTCAGAAGAGTTGTGAAGAAATCCCACCCACGGATCACTTCATCCAAGTTACATTGAAATCCATGAAATTCTGCAGACAAAAGAACATTTATTCATAAGATGCAATTTTTTTCCGTTGGGGTGATGTAAATCAAATTAGGTTTTGCCCTTCACCGACGTACACACACTTTATATTCAGGGTGTTACCTCCCGAGTGAAAGTTGGAAAAAATCACTCGGCTGGGCCTCGAACCCACGACCTCCTGCTTTCTAGTGCAGATGTCTCATCAC